TCAGTAATTTACTTGAGATTCATATCGTTCCTCTTCAAACGATCTTCTTTAAGGATGTCTACGCAATCACAATTGGATAAAGCCGCTTTGGTGGTATTACATTCCCTTTAAATGATTGTATCAAAAGCACTTTCGAAAGGAGCGTATCAAAACTGAATACGGCGCTTTGTTTTTGTCATTCACCTTGCATTTTATGAATCTCAGTCAGTTTTTCGACTCACTTCAAATCTCCCTCATGAAAATGGTGTTCGCCGCTCTCATCTATCCACAAGGTTGATTTGTTTTTGCATTGATTTTGCAAGCACAGCTGTGAAAACGATACCAATCGTTATGTTTGTTGAACTGTTTCGCAATGTTGATGGCTATCAATAACGAGGCAACGTCAAATTTGACAGTTATTTATTTCACGAGGTGCAACAGCGTTCGTCCGGAAAACACTGCCATTCTTCTGGTGCACTCATGCACGTCTTACACAATTCCGATTGAATTTGAAGTGTTCTTATCAGAAGGTAGTTCAGCTATGCATTCGAACGCGGAACTGACAAGCAATAACAGTCACCGAAATACAGTNGTGTTCTTATCAGAAAGTAGTTCAGCTATGCATTCGAACGCGGAACTGACAAGCAATAACAGTCACCGAAATACAGTTCATTTAGTCTTTTGAACTGTCCAGTATTTGAACTCATTTATGCGGCGATCACTTGATTTTGTTGTTATTCTTCGCTGTGTTCTAAATTCACCAAATGCCTCTTGAATGAGTCATAATTCATTAACAAATGAAATCTACGTGAAAGTGTGTTTGCACAGATGTCATTTCCGAGAAGAATCTTTTTTGTTCACAATGAAGATGGTGAAGTTTGCTTATTTTTTGACGACTCGACCAATTTCTGTTTGTCGTTCTCATTTCAGTTGATTATTTTTGGTGGGCGATGATGCGATTGTTCGTTTGCTTATTGCACCAGAAACGAACAAACATTTGCTTCACATATCTCATCCAACAAAACACCTAAAAATACGTGCATTATTCATCGGTTGCATAACGAACTCGTGATTGCTGATTGGTTGCTTGTGTTAATTGCGAATGAGTATCGATTTAGAACACGGTTAGCATTCAAATAAGCGATTCGAGAGTCGCGGTAAAGCATTAATGTGCACAACGAACGAGCCAGAGAGTTTCATTTAGCACTAAGGCGATATGAATGAATAATCTGTTTAATGTGCGAGATGATGCGTTTCGAGCGTTTTTTGTCATTATAATATCTGTATACAACATCATTGAGACAAAAATATTGGCAAGAAAACGCATCTAAATTTGTTTAATCAATTATTTCTACGTAATATGTATCATCATTGTATTTTATTGTTGAATGCATTCATTCACTTAAACACTAATTTCCGATGGCACCTCATCGTCTCAAAAACTGTCCGCAATAATGCACTTCGCAATGTATTTCGACATTTCCAGTTGCATCATTAAAACATCCGACGGTGTTCAGCATCGCTAAGCGACTGCGGTGTGTCACTTTGATGGTTGAGAAGCGTATTTCTTTAGGGTTATTTGTTTTTCACTTCTTAAGTCGTTTCGATGCTTTACGCATGTCGTTCGTATCGTTGCAATATCTCCACGTAATTGTATATGGAACTATTTAATTGATCTTTTACGTGTCATTTCGAACGATCGATTTGTGTTCATGTAAGCTGAAGACTAGATGATGCTTTGGTGGGAATTGAGGGGAATTCACCATTCCGTGGAATATGAATCGAAATAGCGTTATTCCAGCATTGGAAATAGTTCTGGACAAAAACGTGATGGACATTCAAATTGCATCAACGAGAAAGCAGTCGTGTTTGAATCGCAGTGGTTTATCGCTTTATCTGAAGATGGATGGATATATTTACTGAATGCAATTTCAACGTATTATAAGATAGAGTTGGATTATGCATAGAATCAGTGCAGCGATTCAATTTGCTCTGATTTATGAATTGAGATATGGTGGATGGTGCGTTTTGCTTTAATCAATCTTCTTCGCCTTTATTCATTTTGCTTACAGTTTGCAGAGATGGATAAATTCTTCTTTTCAATAGAGTATTCGCAACAAGTTTGTGGTGATGTCAGTATGAAGTGGTTGTCGATGTGAAGTTTCAACTTTTAGTCCACTCAAGATTGATTAATTTATTCTTTTAGGGACAACGCTGCGTTCTCGTCTGTCGTCAATTGTCCCGTTATGGCGTTATACACTTATGCACACTTCAATCATTGTTTTTTTTTNGATTGCGATTTGACGATTGCCTTCATTTCGTATTCATATTCGACATGAACACGAATCATGAACTTAATTCATCGTTGCAAGAGTTTAATTCTCCTTGAATCCATTCACTGCTCGTTCACTTGAAAGTTGTCATATTAAGTTGTTAATGCATATAATTACTCTTTCTTTCACTGAAAACTTCAGTATTTCTCGTTAGTGAATATTATAATTAATAGTAATGTTCAGGTGGTGTATTCAGACTTGATTCAACATCACGAATCGCGACCAATCCCACACTGCATATCTCAGCAGCTGTTTGAATTTATGATCATAACGATGATGTAATACTCAAATTGAAAACAGACTGCGAACGCTCTGTGTAAATGAAAATTGTTGAATTGAAGAGAAAACGGCAAAAGAAAAAAGGAAGAGGAAAACATATTCGTTCGAAGATAAGAATTATGCTTCTCATCGATCCACAGAATGCGTCATTTCTTTCTCACTTCACAATCAATAATCCAGTGCCATGCGAACAGCTGACCTTTTCTCGTTACATTTTCTTTCATGAGACTTTTTATTTTGAACGTTCTTCGATTTTTTAAGTGATTTCGTCACGCCAAAATGAATTCTAATAGACTAACTGATTGAACAGTTTCATTCGGCAATTTATGGAATAACCACTCGGTTCATTGCTTCATTCGTATGTAAGTTTGACACGATCGTCACTTGAACGCTTTGTTTCTCATATTCCCATGAATGCGGAAATTTTCAGAGAGTGTTGTTAGATTTTGAGCGCATAAGTGANGTGGTCAGAATAGATACTGACACACGTCTTGCATAAATTCACACAAGAAATGCTGGTAAACAGTTGAAACGATGAACTGAGGCGGTAGAGCCATAGCTCGTTTGGAGTCAGCTGAATAAATGCGCAATGAACCGATGAAAAATATTTGATGTGTGCAATTGTTGATACGTTTCATTATTATTAGTACATTGAACAAATTTGCAAGTCAGCAAATGATTATTTCAAGACATTTTTCACTTTATTTTAACAAAGTAACGATTGATATGTGATCGTTTATCATTTGAACGTCTCTTGTTCACCGTTCGTATGAAGAACGTTCACATGATTTTATCAGCAAAAAAATACCTCATCAGTTTGAAATCAACAGAACAAGATAACGATTTTCATTCACAGCTTCTTTTCAAATCAGTTGGCCTTTCTCTTATGCGTTCGAAATGCTGTGTGTCGTGTATTGCTGAGCGATCCCGTGACATAATGAGTGCAAACTGAAAGCGTTGCCAGTGCACGATATTCGCACATGAAAATATTCAGTTCACCGCTTAGTTCGCTAAATCCCAAAAAAAAAGTCACCATTCCACGTCACTGGAAAGTTTGCCATTAATGAAGACATAATGGAGCATTGATTTATTCATGCTATTTTTTAGCTTAACTGAAAACATATGAGTCAGAACTTTTTTGACATTAAGGCTCTCGCAAATTGTATTCATTCGAACGGCATACAAATGGCTGAATAATGCAATAATTCACAGATGGGTTGTTTAAAAGTATTGTACTAAATGGTATTATGTTTGATTAATTCAGTGGTTTCGATGACAGTGCTACTGCTGGATGGTGACGAGTACTTGTAAATCTACACGTATGCGTTAACGATGAACTGGTGTTGTGCTGTTCATACATTTGCTTTTAATTATTGAATTCGTTATCTGATTTGTTTTATTTTGCAATCTCTCTGCAACGAGTCGAATTAACAGGATTTTTCATCAGTGCACTTCATTGCAATAGTTTATCTTCTTGTACTCGTAGTTGACAACGTTTGAAACGTTTATCAGCAATTCATTNTCGGTGTCGACCATAAATTTGATAATTTATATGCATTTATTCAAAGACCGAAGAGAATAATGAGGAGCGTTGTTCGTGTCTCCAAATATTCTCTTCCATTCAATGAAGCTTTGAGAATTTAGCCAGATAAACGTTCTTATAATTTATGCATTCAGTGTATTGCTGTCATATTATATTATAATTGATGTGATACAGTCATGTCTGAGAATAAGAATGCTTTTTTTTGAAAACAAATGCTGCAATAGTCGAATTGGAAAGCTTTGAATGTTAATTTGTAGACAGCGAATGCGATGTGTGCAGAGGATTAGAGAAATCCCATTTGTATTGCCGACATGGATACAATGCTATCATTCCAGAACTTTTATCTGCAGTATATAAATCCTTTTGAAAGTATCTTATGAGGAGATAACGTGTAATGCTTACGAATGAAGTGGTTGGATCGTTGAATGTAGTCGAATTATCGAAGTTTAAATTTGTGACGATGAAATTGTAGTGTGACCGATTGTGTGCATACAGAGTTGGATGTCGTGTTGTGGAAATGAATTACTTTTGAAGATATCAATAAGTGTTTTGTTTGTTCGTTTTCAGATCTGAATGAATGCGGGAATGAACGCTCACATGCCATCATCGTCTTTGTGCAAACCACACGAGTAAGTCATTTTCATGTGTTGACAACTTTAACTAAGCTTGTTCCCTCATCCCAAAATTGAAGCAGCAGCCACTTGCCTTTATACTGTAGCACTACTGATGTACCATTCGGTCTCACGTAGAACACTGCACGCACTCATCACTTGAACCTGTGATGTGTCCAACTCTGCTACTGAGCTTTGGAATTGTATTATTGTCGCTTGCAATGAAAGGCAAATGAATGAGCTCAAGTGAAAAGCAATCGTGAATTTAAGTAATTTGCTCAATTCTTCATCAACGATCTCTCCTTCGGCGCTCGATCGACGAAGTTTCATACCACCTGTAGCGACGGGTATTATGAAAAATACGGATTCGATTAGTGGTGACGCACTTAAAAAGACGATGGCCCCAGCATCTACGGTACGTTTCTTTGTGCATTTTGCTTACTTAGACATTATTTTAGCGATGTTGATGTGACTAATGTACTTTCGAGCTCTTGTAGGCCATTGAATAGGTTTCATTTGAAAGTTGTGATCGAAGAAATCTTGATAATTCACTGTTCACTAAACCTAATCTTGAGACAGCTCTGTATTAGATAGATTTCGGAGATAAAGCTTTTGGAACACGATCTCAAGATTCCGTTCAAAATTGTGCGATCCTCTTCCTTCGCAGTCTCTATTTACATCTGAAATGATTATAAGCTCTTAGACGCATGGGCCAGTGCTACTGTCGTAAGCTGCTTTAATATGTGGATTGTATAAGCAGTCTAATTGTATGAACGCAACAGAAAACGTCCAACATATTGATGCTTTTTACTTGTCCTTGTTTCTTGATGGTTAATATATTCCCTGAAGAGTTCCAGTGAATTTCATCAATGAATGCAGTGATTTCGGAATGAATGTGAAATTTTTTACAAAGTAAATCCAGAAAGAACAAATTGCAAACTCGCAAATTCTCATTAGTAACATTTATGTGCTTGAATGTCATTTAAGAGTGCTTGTTATATGTTCATTCCGGATAGTCTGGTAAGGATGGTTATTAATTATGGAATCAACTGGAAATTTGCTTTTTATTTGCTTTCGTTTCATTTAAATTCATTATTTTTGCTTTCGCTGTGCTCATTGCTTGTTTGCTCTGTTATTAGTGTACCAAACTTAAGGGTTTTGAAGGATTAGATTTCTTGATAGTATTATCGAATGGAATCGTTATTAGCTTGGGACTGGGATTGCAAAAATATGGATTAAACTGTCTCGATTGTGGTGCAAAAACCTGAAGAGGAGGAGTTGAGACTTGATTCCAGCATCCTGCTTATACCGAGCATTAGACTATGGTTTAGTTGAAGTTTAACGCATCCAAAAAACTGCCGCATTTAGCATACGAGTATTATAATTGTCGCATAGGAGTGAAGCCGTCGAGTCATCGGTTCCTGCCCGCTATTAATGCGTAATTATCGCCAAAATTCAGCTACGATTAGTAATCCAATGCTAAAGTGCTAATTAATCGAACACAAAGATATTCCGAAATCTAACTGGAATGGGAATGTTTACGGAGTAAGCTGAAACTAATATTTGTAAACGAATAACATCAGAAATGCATGGACTAGTGATTTTATTAACATTAAACATTCTACAAATCTAAATCATGATATCCGTGATCTCAAGTGTGCGGTAATGACGATTATTGCTGACGCTATATTTTGTATTTTTCGGAAACAAATGGTAAATACCATCTGTTTCCGACTGAGCTTCAGCAGTATTGATGAACAAACAGATTTCTTGTAAACTAAAAATGGCAAATCTTCAATTTAACAAATCCGCTTATCATACTGTAAGCCTCAATATGTCCACCAAGACACTCACTCGCAGCCAAATGCTGTTGAAGAAGCCTAGTCATGCATTGGCCTTCTGTGCTTGGCACTACAAAATTTATCAATTACACTAAAATTAGCGCGGATGTTACCCTTCAGGCGTTCAGCTTTTGCGGATTCTTGACACTAACTTCAGCCTATCATAATTTCACAGATTATAGAGTAATCTAACTATCCCCTCAACAATGACGTACGTTATTCCATGTCCTTTCAGCAATAACTCTGCTTATAATTGTAGTACATGTGGTTCCTGTTAGCTGTAAAGGGTAGCGCAAACTGGAGACTTATGCTTGTTTCTAATCAACATTTACCTCATACTTCGAATCGTGTTTGGTATTCATTTCAGAACTGTATATGCGATCGGCCAGCGAGTCATATAGTGTGCATGCGATGCGGGTATGAATTAGTTGGACGTTTGCAGAAGGTTTGTCCTGAGCATCCAAAGAAATTGGCTTTAATGGATCATCGAGAATGTCCCAACAGACTCTGTAAAAGCATTCATCTGATCGAAGTTTCGCTCCAGAAATAGTCACTTTGTTGTGATCACGCTGTTAACAATCGCCATATCGAACTGGATCGATAGCAAACGACGATATTTTTGTGACCGTTTTAGATGCCTTCGAAATGCGATATTCTTGTTGATATTTGCTGTATGTTGTCGAACGCATCTCAAACACACTGGTTACTTCCATTTCTCTCATAAACTCACTTGTGATTCGTCAATTTATGGAATTGCTTCAGTATTTCAAATAGATTTCCTTAAAATAGTCCCTTGCAAGATTCAGCCAACTATATGAAACGATAGCAGTGCTCAAAAACGCGCACACTGTAATTGAAACATTTAAATTTATTGAAGCGTTGTTGGAATGTGTTCACTCGTCAAAAGATCCGCTGCTTAAGTGAATGTTAATACAAAACCAATAATTCTCACTTTCATTTCTATTGCTCATTCGTATCAATCGCTTGTTCATATTTCCTTACTTCGATTATTACGAGTTGAAGTGAAACGCTATTCATTATTTGTTCCGTTTGTCGCTTATTTTGTTCCACATATTAATCAGTCCTATTTTTGTATTTATTGTAAATAGCCACCATCAAATTTCGTTGTCAAAATCAATTGAATCGTCACAATTTTGGATTGTACATGTTTGACTTAACGGCTTCGCGAACAAAGAAGCTCGGTCGTGAAGGTGTTTGGCATTTTTAGTTGCCATTCTCAATTCGTTGTGATTTCTGTTGAGCATACACGATGGAATGTTGATATTTCGATTTTATTAAAATACTATTTTATGTAAATGTAAAATACTATTTTCGTGACTGTTTGTGTGAATATCATATATAACGAACAATACGCTTCTTCGAGATTATCAATATTTCTGTTCGTTGTTTCGTAAAGACTATTCCAATGGAACGGTGCAATAGAAAATTTTGAGTGATTTCCTTTGTGTTGTTATATCGGTGGTTAAGTTATCTCGGAATTTTAAGTTGCAGATTACTTCAGTGAATAATAATTCGTCGATGTTTTCGCTATTATTTTATTTGCAAAATGATTTTCTTTGCATTGTTGGCTCGTTCACCCTCACGACGATATTCAGCAAACACCCAATGCAATCTGAACTGTCTTACTATTAAAGTTTTAATTTATTTCGTTTCCTTGAGGATTTGAGATGATACTGGCAGCGATTTTGTTGTTATCCCTTTATATTAGTCTATTTAACACTCTTTCTCTATCTTATTTCATAGCCTTTTTGTTCTGCTTTTTTTCTTCATTTTATCTTTTCCGTAGTCCATATGTTCAATATGCGATTCGATTATTCATTGAATTTCTTCTGTTTATCGCGTCCAGAAGTTGATATGAATGGAATATTGAATGACAAATAAAGTAATTTGACGATGCTGCTAGTGCATCACACATTGAAGCGGTACGTTATTGCTCTTCGGGTAGTGTGTCACACTTTCTGAAAGAACTGGTTCACATGGTTTTATGTGTGTAGCTTTGTTGAGAAAGGTATAATAATGAAAGATATAAAACCCTTTTAATCAACCAACTGACCTCAGGCAGTTATGCTTTCAAAGAGCAGGTTTGCAGCATATATTTAAGCATTGAATAGATTGATTTCATTCATTTAAAGCAATTTGTTGTTTGATCAATCCTTATCTCGTTGTGGGTAATCGATTCACAAAAAATGTCACGTTCAGTATTGAGAAGATTTCTTACATTGATTAAGTCTCAAGACTGAATAATTGGACCCTGAAATGTTGTAAACATTCAACTGTAAATGCTATGAATAAGCTCATTGACGATGACGATGATCTCATATGCAAAGATTCATTTACGTTATTCTATTTGAATATCTCAAATATACGGAAGAATGTTTGTATCTGTCTACAAAGTGAGTAGATCAAATTAGCATTATTATTGCAATACGGCGGAATTTGAATGAAACTGAATCGAAGAGTCAGTTGAGTGCGTGGACAACTTAAAATTCTTTAGGAAGTGCGAAGGGGAAATAGGTTGAGAACCATTGGCTACAGAAAAACTGCAGAGAATGGTCAATCAGATATTTACACTCTTGGGAAATTAAAGCCGAAACAAGAGCCAATAGTACTGTGTTCTCCAAATAATTAAATATTTCCTATGGAAAATGCGATGGCATGTAAAGTGAAAAATAAGATTCGATAAGATTATTGAAACGTATGGGAATTTTCTCTTTTCGAAGGTCAAACATTGTAACTAGTAACCTATAGGTATCATTATTTCCACCCTTAATATTTTCTAACATCAAGCCGCTAAAAAATATTCAGCTTCTGTGAGGTCGTTGTTACTGACAACATTATAACGGAAGCCTCAAGCTCGATTGAATTTGATTGATAAGAGATACGTTTCATTCTGTTGTGATTTCAGGATGTTATTTTCATATTTACTGTTGGCAAGTCTACTCTTCACTCTAGACCAGGGTTTCTGAATCAAGGGTGCTCGCACCCCAGGGGTGCGATATAGTAATACAGGGGGCACGAGGTAACATGTCATTCCTTATACGTTAGAGTAGGCGAGGACAAATTTTGACGCAAACGTTTGTAAAGTAAACAACGATGGACTTTAACCTATATATTTTTGAAAAGGTTAGAAAGTATTTTGATGGCGTACACTTATCTAAATTACTGACATTCTTTGTAGTGGATGACAGATACAGAGTGTATGTTACGGCGGGTGCGAGGACGTTTTAAAATTTTTAAGGGGTGCACGCGAAGTAAAGGTTGAGAAATTGCTGTGTTACTCACATCGTTTGGCTGTAGCTGTGTTATCTCAGATGCACTCCTATGCCCTTTACCACTTTATGTTCTTCAGCACCTATATGCCCACCAATTCTACCAACCAGCAGTCGTATTGAATGTTGATGCGAGTTCACTTGAATCCGACGAAATCAGTCCTATGCGAAGACTGTAACTGCATTGTTTGAAAGTGTG